ATTCTCAAACTTGTACTCAACAGTGACTTGAGTTTTAGAGTCAGGGCGCACCCAGGGAAGTGAACCATCACGCCTACACTCAGCAAGTTTCTTGTTAAGTCCATGTGCTAATACACAAGTTAAAGGCATGAGTTCATCAGTTTCGTCTGTGGCATAACCAAACATTAATCCCTGGTCTCCTGCTCCGACATCTTCGTCCTTTCGTCCCACGTGAACTCCCTGGGCAATGTCAGGGCTTTGTTGCTCAATTGCTTGAAGGACTGCGCATGTTTTGTAGTCAAATCCTGAAATAATAAATCATGCAGTCGTATATATTACTTAGGACATTATAATTAGCCAAGCTATGATACAATTATTACCCAAGGAATAAAATGCATGCAATGTGACAAAACTACACTACACTAGCACCTGCAGGACACAAGAAAGTATCGGGTATGCTCGTCATATCTCTTAGGGGTAGAAAAATAACATCCTTGAACCTTTTAAAAAGACTTTTATTATTTTTTGGGGGTATTTTTTAAAATGTCCGACGAGCACACCCGATACTTTTACCCCAGAGTCCCCCTGGGGCCGCCATGCATACCTTTACTAGAATCATCGTATCCTATTTGCTCGACAGTGTTGCGGACTATCTTCTGATGATCGATTTGAGCTTTGGATGTGATTTCACCTAATATTACAATCATCCCCGTCTTAGCAGCACTTTCTGAGAAAAGAAATAGAGAACGCGTTACCATAAATATATGCCGGAAAGTTGGGATAAAATAATTGAACAAGTTCTTACAAAGTCTTAATTGATTGAAAAAATTGAGGCGGTGAAGACTTATAAAACCTTTTTGAAACAGAGTCAGGGGGAGTCTGATATGAATGACATCCCCAATGACAAACAGTATAAGGTGTTCAAGGCATCCGTATTACAGCGAATGAGATAGCCGATTTACTCAGTAACTGTTTTCGTCTTGATCTTAAAGGTGTATAATGATCAGTTTTTACTACTGTTTTACTATATATTCTTACTTATAGTACACTTACATTTTAAAGCCGTAAGAACTAATGTTTTTTATGCATTTCAGTTGCGCGATGGACTGAAAATCGGCCGCCAAATACACAAAGATGAACGGAGTCCCTTCGCATTTATTACTGAAATTTTGTTGAGTGAACTATAAACAAAAAATCGCACGATAAAACAAAACAAAAAATCGCACGATTAATCGGACACTCGCACTCGCCTAAAGTCTCGTGCAATTACAAGAACTTTCAAAACATTACTCGTGTCTATTAATTTCCAAATTGTACTCGAGATCGTGCGATTTCCTATACAAACGGGAAAATTTTAAAAGTAATTATTCTAAGCATCGCCACCTTTACCGTAATGCATGCTGATGTAGGTCACCCCACCCTGAATTTTTTGTCTCGAAATTTTGTTGGCATCTGCGTCGAAATTTTTGCCTTGATAACTTGAAATTTCGTGTTGTGACAACTGAAAATTTTGAGTTGTGAAATCAAAATAATGATTCAGAAACTTTCTGAAATAAAACCAACAAAGAAATTAAAAAAGTAGAAAACTTTGAATGTCCCTTATGGGCCACCGTAAAGTATAAGTTTCCGATTGGTCGTCGAGAAATCGATCGCCAACATTCATTCTCCATCGCACTACAATTACTAGAACTCAAAGAAAGTAATCGATCCTTCTAAACAAATACAAAAATATATTAACTTGCACTTGTGGAAGCCGTCCGTTTCATATTGCTTCCAGTCTGTTTGAATTAAGATCAAAGGTTGCGAGACACAAATAGTAAAAAAGCTAGACTGCTACAACAGGGAGCCCAAGTAAATTGGCACTGTATTTTAAACGAATCAACACTTATAAAACACAACAGAGAATACGAATTATTATTATTCATTATACATTATTATTTATTTCAGATTTTTCAATGTATAAATCATGTTACTCGTTTTCTGGTTACTCGGTTTACTCGTTACTCGTTACTGCGTTACTCGTTTTAGTAACACCCGGCCAATAAAAGTAAAAATTTTCCGTTCTCTTGCGTTGCTTCTTTTCATAGTGAGACTGGCAAAGAGTCGCATAGTGAGACTGACAAAGAGTCACATAGTGAGACTGACAGTAGAGTCGCATAGAGTCGCGTCTCTTAGCATGCGTCCCTATACACTTGAGAACCAAGCTTACCTTACAAGGTAATCTATACTATTCACTATGGACCACTRCTTGTGGCAGCAGGTTGGAATGCAGCTCAAAATGGAGCAGACAACAATAGGTTTCCAATTCTCAGAAGATCGAAATTATTTTGTTTTGACTTAAACGAATTGAGCTGTAATCGAATATTCATTGTTGACGTCTCAAGAAAAGCCAGCTATAGAATCAGGAAGACTAAGCTTATCACACCTTTTCGATTTTTGCACCTGTCAAAGTATACCCCGTAGGGGGAGGGCGGGCAAGGGGTGGGGATTTGATCAAGGGCTAGAAATTTTGGTCAAAATCCCCAGGGTAGGGTAAGAAACACTGATCAAATGAACACAAATGCCCCCACCGTCGGTGATTTTAATAAAAAAAGGTAACCCATGGTAAGCTCGTGAAGCTTTTTGAGTACCAATAAAGATATGATACTTGGCGACTCTTGAGGGTATTGTGACCCGATTAAGGCGATAGTCGGAGTTATGTTTTGTGCAAACAAACTGTTGTCTTTATCAATTAAATTATTGGCTTCTGATTGGCTAAAATCCTATCTTTTCCGAGATCTGGACCGAGTCCCAGTAATGAGTAATCGATCGATCCAATATATGACAAACCAGGCTGTATTCGGATTGTTCTTCCAACGTGATGATAAATACGACAATCTCATATCTCAAGGTCCAATAAAAAGAGAATAAAGTAAACTAAGAATACTTAAGATATGCTACTGATTACAAGTGATTATGAAGTGATCGAAAATCCAAAATGGCTTCCTCTACAAACAACGTGCATGGATTCTTCTAGTGACGTCACTTGGCGAATACAATGGATTCCATGGTTACGGGAATTACTCAAAACGATTGGCTGAGAAGCGTTATCCGAAAAATGCGAAATCTAGCCACCACGATAGTTCTTCACGAGCTAATTTAAATTGGCATATTTCTTGAAACACTGAAGTATTATATGAAAATATTAATGATATAAAACACAGCATAATTGCACTTTTGCAAGGTCAACAGAAATCAAATCCACTATTGGTTGTCGACTATTGAAATCAAAATGTATCCATAATTAACTATGATGTATCCAAAGAATGTAAATGCTTAGAAGAAGAAAGCTTGATTTTGACGGATTTCTAGAACAATATAATACAATTAAGAAGGCTCTGGGTAGTTTTGGTCTGGCACACCTAGCCGCATTGAAACGGCTACAACTTAGTCTTGATTAACTCGATCCGCAAGCGCTTTCTACACAATGTCAGGAAAGGATTAAAAGTTTCAAAAATAATGAATTAGTTTTTCATTATGACGTAATGATGACATCATAGAAATCGTTTACCGCTTATTTTCTCGAAAACTAGACCTAAACTTTCAAAGCGACTTGCACCAGTCGATAGTATTCATCAAGGCACCCAAAATGTTGCAATTTGAAAAGAAATGTATGAGAGCGTTTTCCAAATATTACGCGATGAATATTTTCATGGACTTTTACTATTATTTCCAGTGTGTCAACTTTATACCCTCAAAATCGGGACTTAGTGGATTCAATATTTTTAGTAGCTAGTATATAGGCACGGATATAGACACTGTCCTTATTGAGTATGAATCAAATTGCGACTTTCTTTCTAACGTTATGGAATTTTTGATATGAATCTAAATGACCCCATTTGTTGTCAAAAGCGATAGAAAATATCGGTGCAAGCGGCATTCAAAAAATCGTCGAACGATTTTATTCTAAATGAAGTCACTAAAAGATGTATCTTTTACAAATATTTTCCTTTAATTTCATATTCATTGAAGGGTTTTAAGGCAGTCAAATAAAAATAAGTACGCTCTCAACTAACAGCACAAGACAAGGAATAACACGGAAGTCAAGCGTGAATAATCAACAAGCAGCTGTGAGCGAAAATAGTTGTGAGCATGATATTTGGAAAACGCCTTTACGCCTCCTTAACATGGTATAAATAGACAAAACAAGACTATTGTGTTGTTATCCAGCGAACCGAAGCGACGCACATGTGGATATGCAAATGAGGTAGGTAAACAATATTCCCGCTAGTCCCCAGTCTGTTCGCAGCCTAATCAAATGCCCGATCCACGGGCCCTTAAAAACGATTAAATGGCCGTCAAATGCCCGAGGGAGGGACAACAAATGCGTTCAAATCCCCACTCTTTGCCCGCACTTCTCCCCAAAAGGATTCAACCCCATAGTCCTCAACGTTTTCAAAATTTAAAAAAGTACGATCATTAAGTTAAGACTTAAATGTTCTTGGGGAAAATTTTAAGCTCTGAGTTTAATTAGGATTCAATTCTTGCATTTATGAAAGTCAAGCTTTGCCTAGAACCATACAAAAGAAACGCGGTGTCTAGATACCCGGCATCCGGGAACCAATTTCAAAATACTAGATACCCGGGAGTTTTCGATTCTTGAAAAAAAATCGTCAAATTAATAAAGACATCTTTGCCCATTGAAAGTATTCTTACTTTATTTAGAATAGTCAAGCGCTTCTGTTAACGATAAAAGATACATAGTTTTGGCGCCTGGGAGCTTGCACGTTTGATCGAAATTATTCTAATTTGGTGTCTTCGAATTGACCTTCACAATCTATGCCATGTGAGAGAACAGCATAAGCGAAAATACAGATCTTTTATCGTTAACAGAAGCGATTGACTATTCTAAATAAAGTAAGAATACTTTCAACTGGGCAAAGATGTGTTTATTTGACGATTATTTTTCAAAAATCAAAAACTTCCGGGTATCTAGTATTTTGAAATTAGTTCCTCTACGGGTGCCGAGTATCTAGAAACTTCGAAAAAATTCATACCACAAGCGACTTTAGCATCAGGATCTTCCTTCAAATGTGCATCCAAAATGGCGTCTGATATCTGGTCACACATTTTATCTGCAAAATGTTAAACCATGCATTGAAATTATCATATTACAGCTTTGTATTTCAGAATGATTTGAGGTACAATTTTGATAATCATTTAAATAATGTGAATTTACCTGGATGTCCCTCGCCTACAGACTCCGATGTGAAAAGGAAAGTATTGTTAGACGTATCTGGTGTATTCATTTTGGTATTTTCAGTAAGACTCTAATATTGTTTTAGCCGGATGTTAGCTCGAAAACGCCACGAGTACACTGCTATTCAGCAGGTCTGCTACTCAAATTTATATTGATTTCATGTCACATCTGTCGCGCAATGTATAAGTGTTGCGTTACTATACATGATAATGAGGCCGAAGAAAAAAGGAAGAAAGAAGGAAAGAAAGAAAGAAAGAAAAGGTATGTGTAAATGCTGTAGATTGGCTGTGAATTGGAATATGGAATTTCAGTTAGTAATAATAATAGTAGTAGTAGCAGGGAATGGCCAGTTCTGGCGATTTTTTCTATGCTTGTCCACGTGATCAGATCGTGACCAAGTTCCTGGAAATCAACACAAGAACTGAAATTAACCCCAGACATCGCGTGATCAGCTCATGTCGTGATATAAAATCCAAGATGACGGACCAAATTCTGAGAAATGCCGGGCGTATTAAAATTCTGAGAAATCCAAGATGGGGACCAAATTCTTAGAAATCAGCCAAGGTAAAAAGCTCAAGTTCAGTTTATTTACACTTTTAGCAAAAGAAGTTACAGAATAAGAAAAGATTAATGACAGATATTTTTAAAAAAACTAATTAAAGATAGTTTTAAATAATGATGTCAATTATGATTGAAAAGTGTGTAGTGGTAAGGAGCATAGCTTTCGATATTCATATCCCCTAAGAGATAAGTTTGACATTTCGTTTTATCTAATTATTGTAGAAATTTTTGTAATTCAGAAGAAAAATTCTCCATACTTTGCTTTTTAGTAGTTTGCATAGGTACTGATCGAATTTCTCGTTTAAAAAGGATTGTTACGATTCGATTGCAGTACATCTTTGAGCAAGCGATTCCATGACAGAAGACTGATAACTGTTGAACTTCACCTTTGATAAAAAATTTTTGTATTATACGCTAAAAACGAACAAGCTGTAGAAGCAGGATCGAGAAAAAAAATTTATACAGTAATATAACACAATATATAAACGGTATCCGGTGTTTTCCCTTATACCTTTCACTTTCGCTTTATTCACTTTCGAAAGCTATGACAAACGAAGGCTTATTTTTATACCCGCTTTTGCTCGATGACTAAAAGTTTGACTTCAAAATAAACGGGTTTATGTCAAGAAAGAATTTTAGGTACAAAACAAGCAATCTAGTGGAGTTTTTTAGAGTTTCGCTTCGTAGTAAAAGTAGTGAATGGACTCTCGGCGTCGTGTGACAACAAACAAATCGAAAGCTATGAGAAACGAAGGCTTTATTTTTATCCCCGCTTTTGCTCGATGATTAAAAGTTTGACTTCAAAATAAACGGGTTTATGTCAAGAAAGAATTTTAGGTACAAAACAAGCAATCTAGTGTAGTTTTTTAAGAGTTTTTTTAGCTTGTAGTAGTTGGGATATATATCTATATATATTTTTGCAAATTTTATTTGCGTTGCAAAAGTCCAGGTCAGTTCAAATAACTCAAAAGGATTTCTGGCCTGACGGGTGCGAATAAAGATTACCGTATTTACTTTAGACGCCGCGGGTGTTGGCGTTTATTTGAGGGCGGCGTCTGTTCGGGGGCGGGTCTAAACGAGTAAATACGGTATACAGTCCGGGCAGCAGTCCGATCCGGGATGGAGAGCGGTACACGTCACGTTTAATTTCTATCGTTTTCTGCTTCGACGACGAGACGAGTACAAGTGAACAATATCTCGAGTACTTTTTACGGTTCTGAAGGTTTATTTAAGTGGTGCAAATGAATGTAAGAGCAATTTTTAATCAAATATTCGTGGAAATCTAATAATTTCTTTAAAAAGGTCCAGTGTTTGTCTAAAATAGAGCCAAACAGTAGGTCCCGGTTTTTCGAAGATCTTGTCAATCTTCAAAAGTAGTATGAGGCTTCCACTCGATTGGAACAACTGTTGTGCTGTATCTTCTTTTCATGTCGAACTCATGCTTTTCTTTTAGGGATATTAAGCGACATTTTTAATACACAAAGAAACCTCGGATGAATGTTTGGTGAATCCAAGGACACGTCATTGACCATGCGGTCTCAATTTCAACTGGACATTTCCTGTTATCGTTTGTGACGCTACAGCCACAGATTCTGCATCTCTCTAACAAAACTTTTTTATTCCCATCCATATTACTGTGCAGATCAAAATTTGAGTTCACATCTCATAAATGACGAGTATGACATTGAGCTTCGGTTTTTGATACACGGGAATGACGTGTTGTTGATTACAATCATCACCGTACCCGACTCTAGTTTTAGCAACTGCTAAAATTTCTCGCGAGGGTTACCGAAAATCTGGGAGGGTTACCACCTCCAAATTTGGCACAAATAATCTACATCTATAAAATTTTCAGTGAAAATTATTTTTGAGCCGGGAAAAATTCGTTAACTTTCCAAAAAAATGTACATCCATTACTATAAACCGAACCCGTAAACACTGTCATGGCGCTCAAGGGGCGCTCAAGCCAAGGTCCGTGCGACAAACTTGTCTGATTTTTTCACCATCGTCTTCATCTCGCAGTTAAATTTTCACCTCAAGCTATTCTTTCGTATATCGCGAGAACTACTATCAATCAATATCTAGTCTCTACTCAATGAAAATAGATGAAAATTCCCAAAGAAATAAGTCGAACCGTAGCCAGTTTTAGAACCGTTTGATAGTGTTATCCAATGGAATTCACGTTAGAATGAGCAATGGCTAACAGCCAATCAGAATCTATCATATATAATCTCGCAATTTGCGGGGGGTCCAGAACTAGACTCTTCCACGGTCTCTCGCTCGTCCGTTTCGTCTCCACGCTTAGAGACTGTAACGGTACAATGACCGAAAGGACTTATATGGGGTAAAATACCGGTCAAAAATACGTGTAGTATACAGTCATGTATTATACAAGTATCATACATGTAATGGCGTTTGGAACGTGTACTAAAGAAAGTGACAAGATACATGTGTCGGGTACATGTATCACGTTCTTGATATATGTATTGAAATTAAAGAGACAGGACGTGATTGGTTGGTACATGTATCACAGTAACGAGAATACAGGACATGATTGGTTGTTTTATTAATCCGTTTTAGTTAATGAAATACAAGCGAGGGTTGAAAGTGACAGATATTATTATACTTGACCATGTTGAAAACCTTTTAATAACTAACAGAGTTCAACAGGCATGAATAACTACTAAGTAAAGTATACTAGTCGTTACTGACTGCAAAATGAGTGGCTTTTCATAAGAAATATCAAAGTTTCTTGAAGTAACCTCTTCACTAATTGCTGAGGTAAAAAAATACACGGAATCAAATTGTTGATGAGCTATTATATTACCAAGAACGTCTCTAAGCCCACTATGAAATATGATGCTTTATAGTCTCACAGTTAAACATCGAAGGACAGCTTCCTTCAGTATTAAATGACGATGTGCAACCAACTTGCTACCCTGGGTGCCAGAGGCCCACACGGCCTCTGGCACCCAGGGTACCAACTTGCCGTTCTGGTTAAAGAACTTTCGTCAAACTGTGAGACGTCTTCATAAAAATAACACGGGGGCAATCAACGGACTTGCGATCATAACTTTGTAATATTTTTGCGAAAAAAAGAGATATACCGGGATGGAACAGACTTAAATGAGTTTATGGAAGAACTTGGAGGAACTTGAGGGCTCTATCTAATTTTTTTTCTACTGGTTTATTGTTTCCATTGAATTTTCCCCAAATAGATTGTATTGTTTACATCTATTATCGTTGGAGGTATAGTATTTCTCTAACATTCAGCACAGTATTACGTAGAAATCTGTCGAAGCATCCTGGCCATATTCTTGTACATGCGCAGTCAATGTCACAGAAAGTGTCAAGTTCATTAGCTTTTTTTTAGTTTCTATTTATTGTAAGTTGTGTATGTGTATTTAACAGGGCTCCTTTTGATAGCAGGGGCATTTTGCCACTGAATGGACCACCCTGTTTTTTATTATACTTTTTTTGTTTAAATAAAGGTTTCTACTCTTTGTTGAAAACAATAGCTTACTTGTATTTGATACACGTATTTATACATGTATTTTGACTTGTATTTCGCGTCATACCAGCGTGCTTTGGGAACCAAAATACTCGTCCACAGTCTCTCTCGTTTCAATATTTTCAAGATGGCGGCGAAAACGAGAGAGACTGTGGACGAGTATTTTGGTTCCCAAAGCACGCTGGGTCCAAGTTTTCGGGACCCATAAGTCCTTTCGGTCATTGTACCGTTACAGTCTCTAAGCGTGGAGACGGTACGGACGAGCGAGAGACTGTGGAAGAGTCTAGTCCAGCACAAGCTTTCTGGCGATGTTTCGCAGACGGTATTTACGAAGAAAATTCCGGATGTGACGCAGGCTAGTCGAACCGCTTTCACGGCAGTTTCCGACCTTGTCGTCGAAAACAATAGAAACGTGACGTCACGACCGCTCTCCAGATCTGGAGAGAATCCCGGACTCGTATGATGGTGGACCATTAGATAATTGATGGGGGGGGGGGGATTGCAGGAATTTTGGCTGCATGATATTTATTTGTTTGGCTCAAGCCTTGCACGTTATTCTTTGCGTACAGTTAGATATTTTTCTTCTAGCAAAAGAGGTTGCACGATATTTTTTTGAGGTTTAATTGCTTGCTCGGTTTTTTTGGGGGGGCCCGGGTATTTACGCAACCCTCCCCCCCCCATCAACTATCTAATGGTCCGTTAGGTAGGACAAGAAATTTGATTCCATTGATTTTTACACGTGCATTGGTGACCTGGTATGAGACCACTTATGGACCAATCAGAGACTAGTTCTAGCCCTCTTGCGTAATAGAAAGCCATGCTTGTTTTAATCTGAAGTAAAATCAAGCATGAGTCATTTTACAAACTCTTTCTATCAGAACGGTCAACCTGCGTCCAAGATATCCAAAATGGAGAGCATGGACACTCCAAATAACACTTTTTTATTCACATCGGAGTCTGTTGGCGAAGGACATCCAGGTATTTTGACTTAAATATAAATATTCTGAATGGCATTGTACTGTATGGCTGCACTGAGCGTGGTTCTGCACATTATTCAGCTCAAACGCTCCAAACGTTCACACTCTTAATACTATTTAAACCTATTTTTCGTAGATAAGATATGTGATCAAATCTCAGATGCTATTCTCGACGCTCATCTTAAAGAAGATCCCAACGCTAAAGTCGCTTGTGGTAAGAAAATTATAAAGATTGCTTGTTCATGGAGATTAATATTCAAAAGCTAGCTGTGCTCTGGGAAAACTCGGGCCCATAATTCAGCATTTTTTTCTTTATGTAATCTCTCTATTAAATCAAAATCAATTATTGTAATTTCAAAGATTAATAATATAGAATATTTAGCTATGAAATTATTTAAGACTTATTTTAAAGCTTGAATTCTGTATTTAATCGTACAACGCCCATGTGTCTAATTAGAAGAGCTGAACAACTTCAAACTCTGGCCTACTAAATATTCAATACAGTTGGGAATAAGCTTATTTATCCATTGTCCAAGAAGGATTATCAGTAAAGGAACCTAGATTTCGTAATATTTTTGCTTCCATGCGTATAATTCATTCTCCTACGTGTGTCTTACCCAACATTTATTTGTTCAAAAAGTAATGTTATAGCGACCAATGTTTAGATGTATACTGTAAAACTTGCATGCATAACAACGTTATATATATATTGTTATAAACATGAGTAATGTTTTGAAAAATATGATTAGGGATGTGTTCTATCTGAGCCTTATTTTTTCTCTTCTTTCCCAGAGTTAATTGTGTAACGTATTATTGTGCAATACAAAGAAACTTTAACCCCTGTTGCTAATTCTGTGGAGCAATTACGATTTTATTTCTATCGTTATATAGGGAATGTTTAAAATATAAAATCCAATCAAAAAGCGTTAATGTAGCTGCATATGCAGCTTATTATGGCTATTAAAGGATTTTAAATATATATTTTTCGGTTTGCTATAGGTATAATATACTCTAGGGATTTATTTTGTGTATTTTTATTTTATGAAGTTTGCCAACGTGTCAGTGTTTACCGAAGAGCTTGACATTTCCTGAAACGTGGACAATGCATTTTTTTAAAAAACTAGTTTAACATTCCCTACAAGATCTAGACTCTCAAATCACGTACTGTAAACATTCAAATGACAAAACGAGTATGAAAAGCTTGAACTGCAAGTTTTAAAACCAGACTTTCTGTACAATCCTTGAACTTTTGAAGTAATTTGATCAGTGAACATTAGATTTCAGATTCTTAAACGCTTAGAAACCCTTACTTATTAGGCAGTTATGGCTGTGTACAATAAATGTCATTTCGACTGGGTTTTTGAAGAAAAACTTTTGAAAAATAGCTTAGTAGAAATCATAAATCATAAACAGGAGTTACATGTTATATAATACCATCAAATAACTGGTTTTACCAGAAGGACACAAGATAGGACTAATTTGAATAAGCAGGGCTAAAATGGTGTCGTATAACAAAGGACATTACAACACTACAAGACAATAAGGCCTGGGTCGCACTTGAACCAATTCAGAACAAGTTTGTTTAGATAAGTCAAGAAACCTACAACAAACAAAACCTTGCTTTTCTTTGGAAAAAATTCAGTCTTAATTGATAAAAATATATTTTTGAGAGCTCCTAAGGTTCACATAACCTCAAGGGAAGGAGTGAAGCTGCGCAAGCCACGTCACCCTTGAAACATGAATTCAAACAACAATTTCTTAAAATCATTACAACTGGGAGGTACTCCTTGATCAATATGAAACTGGGAAACTGGGACAATGCATGCAAGATAAAATTTAAAGCAGTACCACAACAACAATTAGTAATTCTTCAAGTGATTCACATATGCCTTCACCCATTCCCAACCTTCTCCTGAAGACTCGTAAACATTCACAGGATAATGTCCTTACATAGCAAAGGGATTGTTTAATCGCAGTGCGACCTCAATAAACTTGCATTCAATTGTTGAGAACATGTTTCAGGTAACAAATTGTTTTACAAATGTCAGAACATCCCTAAAATTTAGTTCGAGTGCAACGTGACCTATTTTATTATATAATTACCAATGAAATATCTATTTTTCTCTATTTCGAAAAATTGATATCTTCACACGTGAAAATAACATGTTATTTTCATGTGTGAAAATAACACCATAGTGATGACTATTCAAAAATACACGGAAAGAATTGCCTGAAAAAGCCAAAACATACTTCATTGATAATTATATAATAAACAGAATATTACATGGGCGCTTGGAGATATGCAATTTATCTTCTCGTGTTGAAAATCTCTCACTCGTGAGAGATCTTTTCAACACTCAAAGAAAAATTTTGTATCTCCGCGCGCCCATGTAATATCCTCTATTTATTACGCATGCTTTAGCAATATATAATCTTTCTGCTAATAAACAAACTGATGTAGGTAATTATGATGTAAATCTGATTTATATTTTTGGTGATATGGTGATATCAAAAGAAATATGTTGGTTAAATAGAGAGATTTAAAAATTTTGTTAAGAATTTAAGACAAAAAGTCGTTTCTTTGGTAGCAACCTGTGCATGAAAGAATGCAAAGGACATCTTTGTTGCTTAAGTAGAGAAATTTTAAAATTTGGTTAAGAATTTAAGACACCAAGTTATTTCTCTGGTAGTAACTTTTGCATGAAAAAGAAATCTTTGCTTCATTTGCAAGTGCATCACTTAATAGCCATAGTAAGTTGTTTTCATTAGGTATGAACTAGTAATCTTTTATATGTACGCCAAAACGACAAATAAATATTCAGATAAAAAGATATAACTAGCTAAAAACTAGTGTGAGCTGCGTCGGTGTTTCTAATGAAACAGTAATGATGAAAAGGTAAATTATACACCATGAAAAGATGAAAAAACTTACTGACGTTTCGGACGCTAGTCCTTCGTCATCGTCCGACGAAGGACTAGCGTCTGAAACGTCAGTAAGTTTTTTCATCTTTTCATGGCGTATAATTTACATTTTCATCATTACAAATAAATATTCAGTGAATGCAAATTGCCCATCATTACCCTGAGAATAGTTCTTTCAATATTTACATATGTGACAATCAACAACTCCAAAGATATAAAAATATATGAAAGATATAGTACTTCATTTTACAGTCCCATTCAGTGACCACAAATAATAGTTTCTAGCCGAGTTTCCATGCATAGCTATTCTATATACTATATAGTTACTATAGTGTATCATGAGCGGTAACTCCAGCCTCGGCTAGGAACTATTATTGGTGGTCGCTGAATGGAACCGTAAAATGGAGTATTGGATTTCATCAAATTGCAGAGCAAGCAGTGCTGTTGCAGTATATAGAAACTATTGTCAAAGACTTCAATCAAGTATTTTTTTGCTAGGTCAAATTAGAATCTAAAAGTTGATTTCGATTTAAAGAGAAAGGGCTTGAGGCAACATATTACTAGCTCACACTACCCCTCATAGGTTTGTGTTTCATACTGTATGCCACAAAGTTGTACAACTAAATTGTCTTGTAAGGATTGAAAGAATGTTGTTTATTTTCAGAAACTGCGGCCAAGACAGGCATGATCTTGCTCTGTGGTGAGATCACGTCTAATGCCAGGGTTGACTACCAAAAAGTTGTGCGTGACTGTGTCCAACAAATTGGATATGATGACTCCAGTAAAGGTATGTGTAAATGCTGTAGATTGGCTTTGAATTGGAATGTGGAACTTTAGTTAGTAGCAGGGAATGGCCGGTTCTGGCGATTTTTCCTATGCTTGTTCACGTGATCAGATCGTGACCTACGGTGGCCCACAAGTCTCACAGCAAAACAAAAACTCACGGCAAAACAAACTAAACTCACGGCAAAACAAACTAAACTCACGGCAAAACAAAAACTCACGGCAAAACAAACTAAACTCACGGCAAAACAAACTAAACTCACGGCAAAACAAACTAAACTCACGGCAAAAGGCAATAAATTCACGGCAAAATAAACTTAACTCACGGCAGAATAAAGAAAGCCACGGCAAAATAAACTTAACTCACGGCAGAATAAAGAAAGCCACGGCAAAATAAACTAAACTCACGGCAGAATAAAGAAAGCCATGGCAAAATAAACTAAACTCACGGCAGAATAGAGAAAGCCACGGCAGAATCAGAGGAGGGTGATCAAGTCGCGTGAAGCATTTGCATTTGACTGTCGTTGTGTGAACATCTCCTGGCAAGAAAGTATTATGAATGCCAAATCTGTCTCACCAGTTTGGTGTAGATTTTCTTGCAGTTGGTGATTTCCTGTATCTACACTGTGTATACTTTCAATTTCTACATACTTGTATGGTGAAGTCTCTGCCATTTATGTCGATAAAACTAGTTGGGGGCCACGTTAGCTTCACTGACAACCCTCGCGAACGAAGGATTGTTTTGTTTCCTGACTGCCAAAACATGAGAACTAAATGACGAAAGGTGGCCTTTGACCATAAGGGCTGTTACTTGCCTCAAAATGTTAAGTGGTGGATATTTCATTTGATAACTTTATTCAAACGCGATTGATTGAGCTAGAACATCGAGCATCCAAAAACCGATCGGCTTGGAATCACATACCCGGAGACTAAGATGACAAACCTTGAACCGATTTTTCTCTTCAAAAATATCTCCTAAAACCATTCATTTCATTACCAACATTCATTTTTAATTATTTCTTGTCAAGCTTAGGTTCTTATCATTGAAACTTTTTTTTTTGGAATAATTATAAAGCGTTCTTATTGTTTCAGGGTCAATATTGAAGTCTAAAGTCTTTTAAAGGTTATGATAATTTGATAAACTTTGCACTGTAAATTTAATAGTATTTAACCAGACGCCATTTGTATTTACAACATCAAAACCGCTGACAAATTGCTCACGGTAAAAAAATCAACAGGGAACCCACGGTCGTTGCCCATCACAACCTTTATTGTATTCTGCCGTGGCTTTCTTTGTTCTGCCGTGGCTTTCTTTATTTTGCCGTGTTTTTGCCATTAGACATGGTTTTTAGTGGCGTCGCCAAGCTGACTGATCTAAAGCTGTTGTTGTTTAATATATCAATAGTATATTACACCTTTCACCTCCCTGGAGCTGCTAATTGGTTGAGGGCAAATGACTTTCTCTAAGTATAGACAAATCCAATTTCATTATTTTTCAACCTCATTAAAAAATCTTTCTCTTTCATATATATGACAGTGTGTTGCCTTCCTATGATCCTTATTATCGTTCTTCGTCATGTTGACTTTTTTCTTGAATCAAAGCTTTGAATAAAGCTTTTTGACTGTATCTGTAAACTATCAATGGTTTAAACAGTTTATCATCACAACATTTAACCATAAAACAGTAGCCAGACGCTTTGTGTTTCTGATATTGTTCTGTATATGATCTTACAAAAACTTTTTACCTTGGCTGATTTCAGAATTTGTGTCACGAGCTGATCATGTGATTTCTCAGAATTTGGTCCACCATCTTGGATTTCTCAGAATTTGCATATGTCGGCATTTCTCAGAATTTGGTCCACCATCTTGGAATTTATATCAATTTAGAGCTGATCACGTGACTTCTGGGGTTATTTTCAGTTCTTGATTTCCAGGAATTTGGTCACCAGCTGATCACGTGGACAAGCATAGGAAAAATCACCAGAACCAGCCATTCCCTACTACTTAGTTTGATACACTGAGTATATTTTTGACGTTACAACTATTTTTTCTGTTATTTCTTCAGGGTTTGATTATAAAACCTGCAATGTACTTGTGGCTTTGGAACAACAGAGTGTGGACATTGCTCAAGGTGTGCATTTAGGCAGACATGAAGACGACGTTGGAGCAGGAGATCAGGGTCTTATGTTTGGTTATGCAACTGACGAAACAGAAGAACTGATGCCGTTAACTGTTGTATTGGCTCATGGCTTGAATAGAAAGCTTGCAGAGTGCCGTCGCAATGGCACCTTGCCTTGGGTGCGTCCAGATTCCAAGACCCAAGTTACTGTAGAGTACAAGTTTGCAGGAGGTGTGGCTATTCCTCTACGTGTGCATACTATCGTAATATCTGTGCAGCATGATCCCTCAATAACCGTAGAGGAACTGAGAAAAGAGTTGAAGACCAAGATTATTAAGGTATGCAATGTGATAATCTACAATTTATAGGATGTTTTTGAGCCTGAAATATAGTTTTCTTGCTCCAAACATTGATACACCTTGTTTTGTTCACGAGGGTATAACATAAAGCACAGAGGCCTGCTCATTAGCAATCTGGCCCTCAATTCCTGATCAAATTGGACCTCGGTATATGAACTTGCGCAATTACTTGCAACCAGGTGTAACTTGCAACGATGTGCAACTTGCAACCGTGTGCTCCAGGCAATTTCAATTCTATCAGCTTCACCATGATTTGGCAGCATTTCCTGTCAAGTGCGCAATATTCATAAGCTGAATTGCTAGTAGGTAGCACTCTTTCTGGCTGACAGCACATGGTGGTCAGTGTTTGTATTTCATTGAGCAAATGTTTCTGAAAAAAAGAATTCAGAGTATTAGGTGGGATTCAAACCTGTAGCCTTCTGTTAGACTAGTCAGATGCTCTGACCAACTTTTTCTGACAAAGAATTGCTTGATGAACACAATTCACATCTTTCTTTTTACTTATTGGATTTCAGCCTGTTGTCCCTGCCAAATACCTGGATGACGACACCATTTACCATCTGCAGCCTTCAGGGTTGTTTGTGATTGGTGGTCCTCAGGGTGACGCTGGTCTGACCGGGAGAAAGATCATTGTAGATACGTATGGTGGATGGGGAGCTCATGGTGGTGGAGCCTTCTCAGGAAAAGATTATACCAAGGTATGTACGCTGTTTGTCAATGCTTTGTCAATGCGAGTGTATGTCAGGGAATCAAGAATGGTGTATGTATTACACTCTCTGCGAAACCAAACTAAGAAAAAAAAGATTTGCGAGTTAGCTGTGCCCTGACTTTTATCACCCCAGAGGTTGTTTTAAGGTTTGATCTGTGAGTTAGTTGTGCCCTGACTTAGATCAGCCCAGAGGTTGTTTCAGGGTTTGATCTGTGAGTTAG